AATAACAAAAAACACAAGTTTTTATTATGTGTCTAAGTTGCACTTCTAAACAGTCATGTATAGTTCACAGCAGGGCTGTGCCATTTTTTATTTATTTTTATTTTTGCCAATATATAAACTTTGGTTGTTGGTAGTGTGAAATCAGGATTGTCTTAAACAATTCTAACATTAAGCAATCAAAAAAAAAAAAACCACTGGAAAAAAGTGGAATGTCCAGACAGTGCAGTCAAAATTAAACAATAAAAGTAAAGTTAAATAAATCTTAATTYCAGACATCTTACACTACTTTCCAGACTATAAGGTGCTCTGCTCTGGAGTATACAGTAAGTTGCATCAGTCAAAGAGGATCTCTCTGTCATTCTATGTCAAGAGAAAAATATAATAATTTGCACTGGACTACAAGTCACACACAAAGAATGCTAGAAAATAAATGCTACAGTGTAAGCAATGATACAAAAGATGCAATAAAAAACAGCATCTTTGTTTTGTGGATGCTCAGCCAATTACATTGAAAGTTTGTGTCAATGTTAAATGTCCAGGGCATCACTTTATCAGTTTCTCCTGAATTTCTTTTTTTGTGTGTTGATGCCAGAGGGTTTTATCTTACTTGYTCTGTAAAAAAAATTAAAACAGCCCTTATGTCATTAACTTGTCATAGTTCCATTCTGTTCTTATTAAAAATGAATCCAGGTCAGAAGACTTGACCTCTGTAAGGAGCTGCCAGAATATTTCCCAGAAGTAGCTAAGGTTTCTTAGGGAGTCTCATAACCCTAATTACCTCAACCTTTTTAAGTCTTCCAAATGTGGAACCTTGATCTCACAAATGACACGTTTGCAGATCTGTTGTCAATGTGAGGGTGGTGTCATGACTTCCCCAAAGTTGATAAAGGCTTTTTTTAGGTTTGTCAAGAAACAGAACTGCTCGATAGTTGTAACAACTACACACAATAAGCTGTGAAWATTGCTCTCCTAATTGAAACTTGTACATATTACTTTAAGCGAAGTTAAAGTTGGCCTTATAACAGTTCAGTCAAGAATAAACTTAAAGACATCACAGTGAGAAATGCTAAGTTTAGAAAATATTTTTAGAGACAAATGAAAGACACTGAAATGTATCTGTGTTATTTGTCAGCAGTGGTCTGGAGCATAAACAAATGTGCATTCCCTATCTGTAAGATTTAAGACCCTGGGCATGTGTGAATATTTAAATAAAAAAGGCAAAGAAAAAAAGAAATGTGCTCTCGGGTAAGAATGCCTCCCGTAGTCACAAGCTTTGTAGTGGAGTGCAGCACAAAACACAAATTTTAGACTGATTTAAAAACACTTTTATGGTAACATCATGAATAACTCTACTCGATACCCAAAGACTTTGAATGCAGAGTAATTCTGATGCATTGTGTTGATTTAAATTGTATTTTTTTACAATGACAGTTGGTGTAAACGTCCTTTTATTTGTTTATTTCTTTAAAATAGGTAATATTAAAGATATGAAAAAAAAGAAAGCATGTCTTTAAGTGCTGCTGCTAAAATAACTTCAATACCTTGTTTTCTGTTTCAACAAGGATATGAAGCTTTGTCAAATCCCAAAATCTTACTTGAGGGGTTGATTTATGACTGTGTAGGTCACAGAGTGTGATTCATATCATTTTTGTTCTCAAACCATTCAGTGACCCTCTTGTGCCCTGTGGATGCTGGCATTATCAATCTTAAAAAAACAGCCTCCATCAGGACAGATATATTTCATCACAGATGATAGTGGATTTATTTTTGTTTCCAAACAACTTTGCATTGATTTTCACCAGACTTTTCTCCTCCAGCGGTCAAAAGGACCCAACTTAAGCAAAGCGTTTTCCAAAACATTCCCCAACTTTGTGATTTAGTGGTTCTTTTTGTTAAATATTCCACCTTTTTTGTTGTGTGTGATTAAACATCAGAATAACAATATGTCGCAATAAGTCATTTTTTTCTATTATTATTAAAAGAGAAACAAACAAGCACAACCTTAGCTTCATTGTGTTATACATAAATGTTGCAAAAACACAAATAAAAACAGGTTTATATTGAAGTACTCAAATKTATTTGTATTTAGCTGTCACAAAGTTGAACTTCTGCTATTTTCTATTATCATTTATCACATTTAATAAATGCACTGCAGCTCAATAGATATTATTGATTTCCCTATAATACATATACAAACTACATTTTTTTTTCAAAAAGAAACAAACTACATTTTTTTTTCAAAAAGAATGCTCAGTCAATGGATAAA